AAATATATATATATATATATATACATAGACATTAAAAAATAAAAATTAAAAATCGCAGACTTACCAAAAAAAGCAGGTACCCGCCCCGCGAGTCCACCTCAGCACCCGAGAAAGGGGAGGCTTTCACGCAGGGCTGGTGTCCCAATACAGCCTTATTTGAAGAGGGAGATCTGCAGCAGGGTCGATTTAGTTGATACAGGAATAACACGGTTTATAGCACAAAACAGAACGACACCAGAAATCACTTTGAAAGTAAAAGTCGGAGTGTTCTCATAAAGCAGCAGCAAGATGACCATGTAGCATTGGATCCAGTCCCTTCTCCTCACACTCGACATGGAGCTGGGTGGCTCTGGGGCCCAGTACAGGATGGGGGCCCTTGGGGAGGAGGAAGACTTGGAAAGGTTCCTAGAGCATAAACTGCTTCAGCATGAGAAGGGGAAGGGAGAGCGGCTAAGCCACAGGCCAGGGTGTGCCCTGTTTCCAGGCAAAGCAGGATTTTCCTTGCTCTTGCCTAACGGAGAAAGCAGTCACACCGGTACCTGCAGCTCTTGCTTAAAGCACTGCCCTTTCTTGAGGCTAAGTCACATCTGCTTGCACGTGGGAGGGAAGAGAGCAGCTCACTGCCAAATATGACACTTAAGTCTCTTCCCCTCTTTCATATGTTAGAAAAGCCTTCTCCAGGAAGGCAAAGCATGATCCAGAGTGTTCGCATCTGTGTAACATGCGCATCTCATGTTCACCTGTTCCGCACCGACACACAGTTTGTAACAGACTCATTCAGGATTTCCCACCATCCAGCACACTGAGTGCTTGCCAACCACTGGTGGCAGCAAGATGCAGTTTTTCATCAGCTGACTTGTTTTAGCTGATCAGCTAAAAAGAAAGTCTTTGACATTTATTAAGAGGCAAATTAATGCACCTGAGAACTCGATAGTCTGCCTATTTAACATCTGCAAAACAATCCATGTCTAAAAATGGAAGAGAAAAAGCTCAACTGAAAAACCCTTATTATGGTTCTAAGGAATGGAGGTTCCACCCAAGTTGAACCCATTTTCATCTTTTCAGTAGGACTCATTGGCAATCACTGATTTTCTTCTTTGCAAAAGAAAAGTTAACCAAGATTCACCTTTGAGAACTATCATCAACACTTATAGCCTGAACATACTTTGATGTGCACATTGTATGGGAAAGCCACATTAAACAGTTTACAGCTCAGCTTCATACAAGTCTTCCTAGTTAGATCCTAGTGGACTTTTGCCTATTTTATGGCCTGATCCCCTCAAAGTTTTGCACATCAGGTCTATTTTACCCCAGTAAAAGCTCACTAAAACTGCAGAAGAAACACAAAACTCAACAATCTACTGCTTCAAGGTGCTAGCCACTCTTGGACTCACTCTCTCCTCAACACGTGCTCTTTAATTCCTCAGGGTGTAAAATTTCAAACATGGCCACTTTCCTAAAGTTTAAATACAGGAATTCTCCAGATATATAGAAGATATATAGTTTTTCACACACACACACACACACACGACACACACACACATATAGCTCAAGACCATACTAGAACATCATGGAACGAATTCACATTTCTCGCTGTGAACTACTATGAAAAAAGTAGAACCAGAATCAAAACAACAAAAATCTCCTCTTAGGGCTATGCAATAAATCTGTGACTTCTGCAACCATGAAACCAACATGCGCTGTGGAAAACCCCCACTCCAGAATATGCCCCAGTCATTCTCCTGTGCACACCGCAAAGATATGGAGCTTCTTGTTGTGTGGAACCATGCTGAGAAGTCCTCAGCTAGGAGGAGAGCTTGTACCAGGGTTGCTACCTCATAATTTGATTACACTAAAACTCAAGACAAACCTGTGGAGATTCTTCCTGAAGAAGGTTATTACAACCCTGATTTAACACCAGGGAAAACACAAAGATACAAAACAACACCTGCAAAGTGAGATTCAGGGAAACCAAAGCAGCATGTTTTCATTGTGCTGCTGCACCTGCCAGTAGCCCATTTCTTGCCATTATCATAAGGGAAGGAACTGGAGCTATTAGATACTGCTCTGTTGTTTATCAAAATGAACAATTCTGTTAACACGAACTGCAGACAGAATGAGTCATCCTATGTCACTCTATGGAACTGCAAGGAGTCCTTAACACAAAATCCAACTGATTCCTCAATAATTTGAAGTTTCTTGAAGTTGGGCATCCATATTGTTCCTTCTCCAAAAATCCTCAAAGTATAATTCTGCCACCTCTCATATTGTCATTAAAATACCGCTAGTATTAATTGCTGGCATTTAAGCTGCAGCTCCTGAAGCTTTCTGCCTAAGTGACTATTTCAGCATTGTCAGATGAGGGAAATTCCAGTCCTCTCGGCCTAGCAAAAAATCTAGCACTAGAGCTTTGTGGGAAGGTTTCGGAAACTTTATTATTCTTTAAGCAGAAAGCAAACACCAAGTTTTGTTCATATACAACAACAAAACACATACTTTACGTGGACATTGCACTGCCTTACTGGGTTTGTTTAGAAGTCACCTCTTCTTTCCTATGTTAGTACATTCACCAAGTGCGTTGTCTTGACTGCAAACTCTTCAGAGCAAAGAGCAAGTGGTTCCCAACAATACTCCAGGCATTGATACTTTAACAACAACAAAAAAGTACTAAAAAGAATACCAAGAAAGCTTATTTGCCTAAGAATAATTTCACCAGTTACACAAAACAGCTCAGAGAAGGCAGTGTAAATTAATTGTCTTGACTGCAAAACACAAGCAGGAGATTTGGGCTGAAGTAGTATTTTCTCAGCTCTCTCCATACTGAAGCATAGAAAAAAAGACCTTTAAATATGCATGTGGATTTAAGCATGATTTGCTTAGGAGGTAATACACTTTTCCTTGCTAAGGGTACATTATTAAATTGTTCACCAGAAAGCTGACAACATAAAACAGGCCAGTTAAGGTTACTCCTCTTACCTTTCAGTGGAACAATGGACATGGAGCCATTTTTTCCAGAGAAAGATCCCGTTTTGGACGAATCCTATATAAGCATCCAAAAAACTACTTACTAGAGGCAAATATTTATTTCCAAGAAGTATCATCCAGTAAGCAGTTAAGATACCAGAAATTTAATACCAGATAAGTATTGACATTTTTAACCGTTTGTGCCCCTTTGTGCAATGCCTGTTTAATGGTCTCTTAAACAGAATTCTATATATAATACGTATATTTATTGGGAAGACATTTGTATTTCTGCATACTAGTATATGAAGTTTTATCTGTATGTTATTTTGAGATACATTTCTGAACTGACCAAATTGTTTGTTTTAAACAATGTAGTTTTTTCTCTTGGGGGAAAAAAAACATAATAGGATCTGCAATGATTTTGAACCATAAGGATTTTAATAAGAATAATAACATAAACCATTAAAATTCTTATGGTTCTTTCAATAATCCACCCAAGAAACGTAATAAATAAATAAATAAAAATAAAAAAGCATCAATCCAGTGCATGGCTATAAACAGAGACCACACTAGCACAGAAAAAAACCCTCAGGTTTGACATTTC